AGCAGGAATTCCATTGTCATAGATACTATACAAACACAGAGTATCAGATGGATCCTACCCAAATAGTTTCCATGCAAGCCAAGCACAAGGTGACGGAAAAGAAGCAGTATCATTTTACTATGCAAACGTAACACATCCACAGGCAGATGAAGCCACTTTCCCAAGATTACCCTGGGAATCTGTGGCACAGCCAGGAGATGAATTAACATCTCCCAAGTCCTGTCTTTCCTTCAAAGACTGTTCTTCTTCACCCCATCAGTTTATTTTCTAAGCCAAAGGCAGTGAAAAGACCCTTTGATTTCTGCAGTGTTTGAACAGAGTCCCAAATGTCCAAGAAAAGATCTGTTGTTTTTTTACCAAGCAAAGTAAAGATAAGACCTTATCAAATGCAGAGCAGAATTTTAACCTCTGCGTTTGTCAAATTATGCCTGGAAGTTCAGCTAAAACACGGTAAGTCAGCAAGAGCTCTTAATGCTTATTAGCAGGAAATAATTAAATTTTATCACTTCTTGTTATTAGCCATATTTCTTATTTATTACATTGGTATCATCATTCTCTGTTCTTGAACTTTGCAGTTTGAATGAGGTATGGTTTTGCTGCTCAGGTCACAACTTACTTATTTGTATCTTCAGATGTCATCTGAGATTTCTTTACAGATGTGAAAACTTCCAAATAAAAACTAGTATGTGTAAGAATAGGTGTGAGCTCTCCATGCTCAGCCGCAGAGACAACCGCCTAACAGTGCTCAAGGGAAAGCGCTGAGGGCAAGGGAAGGGACAAGTGGCATTTTCCTGGGGCATTATGAGCCGCTCTCCTACCAAACCAAAAGAGAACAAATGGTTCATTTGTTGCTGAGATGCTGCCCATCTGTGGCTGTGTCTAATCAGAGTTAATTATGAAAGCTGAATCTCTGGGATACTCCTGGTCCCCGAGCTCTGAAGGACCCATTTCTTTATGTGGTGGCTTTCAAGGCCAACTTCTGTAGCTGCCTATTATCAAGCACCAAAAGGTAGAGATTGTACAGGATCCCTGGCAAGCAACACAAAGTGTCCCAGCTTAATACTAAAGCAATGACTAATCAGAGTATCCCAAGAGGAAGCTTTGCACTAGCTCATGCAAGGGTAATGAGGACAGTTTTCATAGCTATGACATTTTAAGCCAAGCAAAATGCAAACAACCTTGTTTTTTCTTTCTTGGCATGTGTATATGTATATCTGTAAAAGACCATGATGACACTGCAGGTAACATAGCCCATGCTGTGAAGGATTCTCCATGGGAGATGGGTTGAACCAAGGTGGGCTGCGGGATTAACAGACGTGTTTGTTGCTTTATCATAGCAGGACTAATGGCCAAATTCTATTAATTGCTGAACTCTGTTTTGTTTGGCAAATACAGGAAGCAGTTTACACGGCTACGTAGTGCTCTGGTTCACAGTCCTTCTAAAATAGTATTATTGTAAGGGGATAAG